CAGGCAGGCTGAGGGTGTATTTGTATGAGTTGTGTGACCCAGAAGTCAAGTACTGCTGGCTGGCATGTTGAAAAAGTGTCAGATAAGGTTCTCATGCTTTGGACACTGACTGCCAAAAACTGTCCATGACTTTCTCATTACCAAGACCGTCAACCTCTATTGCTCATCGAATGAAAATGTACACACCTCAGTGGGTGGAAACTGATCTTTTTAGCAAGAAAACATGGAACAAATAATACAATGACATCTAGGACACTGCAGTTGCAGTTAATGAATACCCCCTAAAGACCACGTATCAACCATCATACATCAATAATACAATGGATAATACAAATGTGTGTGGAATTAGTTGAAGGGAGAGTCTTTTTTGAAAAGACACAGTACAGAGAGAACAGTCTGGTACATCACAGAAACTGCTCTAGATAATAAAGATGATAGATAATTTGAGTTATAAATGTGTATATTAAAGGGGTCATATGATGCTATTTTAAAGATCATTATTTTGTGTATTTGGTGTAACAGAATATGTTGACATGCTTTAATGTTCAAAAAACACATTATTTTTCAAATACTGTACATATGTGGGGGCGTGTTAGAACGAGGTGTTTTAGGAAGGTGTGGTTGACTCTTAACTTTTATAAAGAATATCTTTTTGGATTTGAGACTTTAGTCTTTGCAACTTTACAGATCTTCTTTATGCACCAAGAGCTTGTAACACTCCAAAGAGAAAGGAAAACTTGAAATCGCATCATATGACCCCTTTAAAGTTACCACACTTTTATACCAATGACGCACAAACATCAACTTCATTATCAGCTCGTTTTCAGCCTCTCAGTTTGATTTTCCTCTATATTAAAAAAAGGTTCATAGAGTGCAGAATGGCCTTAGCCCCCATTTTCACACTCCCAATGAACAATATCTGGTATATATCAACATCAAGCTAGATACTTTCAAAAAGCAAAAACTTCACTGTAAATAAGAAGCATAAGTTCAATATGCACTTTGCATGCTGATTTGCATTGAATCATGTTCAGCTTCTCATCAGAAATATAAAAGACTTAATGAGAAAAACCTAAGGAAGTGTTCACCCAGAAATGAAAACTGCCATCATGTTATAGCCTAATTGGTTGAGAAACAGGTGAAAACCAGTGCCATCACTGACATCAAACCTTGTGCACAGAAATTGTATGTGTGTGTGTGTGCGTTTTTGTGACAAATGAGGACATAAATTTGTATAATGACAAGGGTATGACATAGGTATTACAAGGAGAAGGTGACTTTTCAGGACATTACCCCATGT